ATTTTAAGTGCCACTATGATTACTACTTTGGAATAAATATTTGTATTAGATTAAAAATAATCTGAGAAATCATAATTGCTGCTTCTCAACTCAATTCCCACTAAAGGCTATTTTCAGTCATGTAGTATATGATAGCACTTACCTATCTCAGTGTTTTTAACAAGTGTGATCTATGGTAAGTCATAGTATGGAGGTCCTGTTTTTTCTATAATCTTGTACCATTTGTTTATAATATTATACCTTTATAGAGTTTAGTCATAAGACTTATAATATAGTTCAGATGTCCTTTTTGTTTAACTTAAACGCGTTGTTCCACTGTTTTATCCAAAAATCATACTGTTTTCTTCATTGTGGCTTGACTTCTCTGCAGTGGCAAAATCATTTCCTTAAGTTATCTTGCTGTCCTTAAAGAGGCTTTAAAAAAAGTAACAAGGAGCTCCAAGAGTATTAAAAGACTTGCCCAATGTGGTTCAGTTGGTTGAGTGTCATTCCATGGATCAGGAGGTCACCAGTTCCATTCCTGGTCAGGACACATGCCCAGGTTGCAGGCTTGATCCTCAGTAGGAGGTGTGCAGGAGGCAGCTGGATAGTGTTTCTCTCTCATTGATGTTTCTGTCTCTCTCCTCCTTTCATCTCTCTGAAATCAATAAAAACATATTTTAAAAGAGAGAGTATTAAAAGGCTTACTGTATTTTAATCTGTTAAAGAGAAACAGTAGACTCAAAATGGAGTCACTTGTGCCAAGCCCCACCTCAGCAGACCAAGATATTCTACTTAATCTAATTGCAGTTTCAGCTTTCCTGGAATGTAATCTTTAACCAGTCCACAAGGAATTCCCTGATCAGTACTAATGAGATAATCTGCCTGTAGGTCCCTTCCATTCCCTTCAGAGAATAGCCTTGCCTGAAACAATGTATTCTTTACTAATAGTATCTAGTTCTAATTAGTAGCATCATATTTCACTATGCCAAAAACCTTGGTAGTAACTGAACAGGCATAGCAAGGAAAAAGAAAAATCTGTTTTGTCATTGAACCCTTTCTAATTTGCTTCCTTTCTAAACCTTGCTGCTATTGCCTCAGCCCCTTACCATCTATTGTAAGCAGTATTAGAGTAACCTCCTAACTGGTCTTTCTGACCAAGACTTCTTCTAATCCAGTGGTTCTCAACCTTCCTAATGCCGCAACCCTTGAATACAGTTCCTCATGTTTGGTAACCCCAATTTCATTGTTACAAATTGAATATAATTAAAGCATAATGATTAATCACAAAAACAATATGTAGCCGTAACCGGTTTGGCTCAGTGGATAGAGCGTCAACCTGGGGATTGAAAGGTCCCAGGTTTGATTCCGGTCAAGGGCATGTACCTTGGTTGCGGGCACATCCCCAGTGAGGGGTGCACAGGAGGTGGCTGATCGATGTTTCTCTCTCATCGATGTTTCTAACTCTCTATCCCTCTCCCTTCCTCTCTGTAAAAAATCAATAAAAAAAAAAATAGGTAATTATATATGCTTTCCGATGGTCTTAGGCGACCCCTGTGAAAGGGTCATTCGACCACCAAAGTGGTCGCGACCCACAGGTTGAGAACTGCTGTTCTAATCCATGCTTCTCTTACTTAGAATTCAATAGCTAATAATTGCTATACATGTTTAAGATCAAGGGATGTGTGTAAGGCCTTTTATTATGATCTACCCCTTCCTTATTTCTTTTGATTCTCAAACATAAGGAACTACTTGGAGTTCCTGAATATAATTTATTTCAGTCCTCCTTAATATGTGCTATTCCATTTGTCCAAAGAGCCTTCCTGGCTCTTGTATGCTGTGTTAATTGCTGTTTCTCTTTGATGCAGCTTTTGAATTAATTAAATATTAATTCTTCGGTGAAGCTGTTCGACATCCTATTTCTATTGTAGTCCTTTTCCCTTGTGTTCCTTGTCAAAATGTAAACAAACTTCTTTATATTTAGCTTCAAAAATACAAGAACCTGTATTTGATTTAAACTTATGAATTATTGTAGGAAAAAATAGCTATCTGTTGTGTTTCTGTAACTTACAGTGAACAAAGACCTTGAGGATCAGGATGAGATATCTACACTAATAAAAGACAAAGATGCTAATTGACCATACCTTAGCTACACCCAAGCCACGCCCACCAGCCATCAGAGCAACTATATGCAAATTAACCCAACCAAGATGGTGGCTGGCAGCCACGGAGCTGGAGCAAGCAGGAGGCTTGGTTGCCTGGGTGATGGAGGAAGCCAAGCTTCCCGCCTGCCCTGAGGCAGCTGTGGCCTCCGCTCATGGCAACAAAGTTTTAATTATAGAAGCTAAATAAATCCCAGATACCTGCTTCCAGCCAGCCTCCACTGGGAGCTTGGGTGGCTGGGGGCCATGGCCAGCCTGAAAACAGCCATCAGCCCCTCACCCAGGTGGCCAGGCACTCCTATATAATAAAAGGGTAATATGCAAATTGACCCTAACAGCAGAACTCCTGGGAATGACTGGTCACTATGACACACACTGACCACCAGGAGGCAGACACTCAATGCAGGAGCTGCCCCCTGGTGGTCAGTGCGCTCCCACAGGGAGAGCTCTGCTCAGCCACAAGCCAGGCTGACGGCTGCCAGTACAGCGGTGGTGGTGGGAGCCTCTCTTGCCTCCTCAGCAGCGCTAAGGATGTCCGACTGCAGCTTAGGCCACTGGCAAGTGGACATCCCCCGAGGGCTCCCGGGCTGCCAGAGGGATGTCTGACTGCCAGCTTAGGCTCAATCCCCCGGGGAGCGGGCCTAAACCAGCAGGTGGTCATCCCCCGAGGGGTTCCAGACTGCGGGAGGGCACAGGCCGGGCTGAGGGACCGCCCTCCTCCTCCCCGAGTGCACCAATTTTTGTGCACCGGGCCTCTAGTGGAATATAAAATTGGAGAATGGACTGGTAATCCAGGAAGCCAAACAGTAACTTTAATAACATTTGGCCCCAAATGACCAGGATTTGATCAATTCCTGCCAGCTTCCCTAATTTTGTCCTTCCTTCTAACTTAGAAACAACCAGATAGAGCAAGCCAAATTACACCCCAATAAAGCATATAGGATACCTGCTCCTGGTTAGCCTGCCAGTAGCCTCCAAACCAGGGCAGATCTAAAGCTGTCTCTTTTTTCCTACTATAAAGCTTTCCCTCCTCAGCCTGCTTTTGAGTCTGCCAAATACAAGTGATAGCCTTTACTTTTCTCATTTGGTTCATCTTTATTTCCACAAAGGAGAAAAAAAAACTATTTACATCTGAAATGATTAGCAACAACTATAGTTTACAAACTATTTTTATTTCCTGTGCTAGTTTAGTGATTTTTCTCCATGTTTTATAAACATTAAGGTTTATATTTTATAAAGGTGAAGACAGGATTTTGTCATAAGGATTCTCTCTATTTATTTACATTGCATGGAAAGATGACAAGAAAAATCTGTCACTTAATAAAGAACAAAATCCTAGTCAAATTGTAATCGTAAGACCTTTGTATCAGATATAGTTGTTCAGAACCTTTTATTTGCTTTATTAAATCATAATTTTTAAAAAATCAGTACATGAAAGAAATTTAATGTGAACTGCAAATTAAATACATTTAGACTTTATTTATTACTAGAGGCCTGATGCACGAAATTTGTGCACTGGGGGGAGGGGCTCCCTCAGCCTGTCTGCGCCGTCTGGCAGTCCTGGACCCCTTGGGGGATGTCCAACTGCTGGCTTATGGCTGGATGGCCTGCTGCTGCTGCATGGCCTGCTGCTTGAGCTTCAGCAGCTGCTGCATGTGCACGGGCTGGGCCACCACGGTCTGTCCTGCGAATATCCTCGAGTAGGCAAGTCAAGCGCAGAGGCAGGCTCACCCTGAGTTCCCTGCACTTCCCTGAGTCACTGAGTTGTTCAGACTGACTTCCTTCTACAGAGAACGGCACCGGGATCGGGCCTAAGCTGGCAGTCAGGCATCCCTCTTGCAGTTCGGGACCCCTCGGGGGATGTAGCAGTTGCCAAGCGGCAGGCAGCCAGGGAGGAGCCTGAATTGGGGCCCGGCATCATGCCACTCACGCTCATCCTGGCCCATTGCACCTGTTGCCGCTACTCAGTAGTGCTGCCACTGCTCAGTAGTGCTGCTGCGGAGTCAGGAGAGGGTCCCGCCGTGGCAGCTGCACTCACTAGCCATGAGCCTAACTTCTGGGTGAGGAGCGCTCCCACTGTGGGAACACACTGACCACCAGGGGGTAGCTCCTGCATTGAGCGTCTGCCCCCTGGTGCTCAGTGTGCATCATATTAACCGGTTGTTCTGCTGTAACGGTCGCTTAGGCTTATATTAAACGGATGTTAAGAATACCCTTTTAGCCCCGGCCATGTGGCTCAGTGGTTGAGCATCAACCTTGGTTGAGTGTCAACCCACGAACCAGCAGGTCACAGTTCAATTCCCAGTCAGAGCACATGCCTGGGTTACGTATGGGCTCCATTCCTAATAGGGGACATGCAGGCAGCCCATCCCAATCAATGAGTCTCTTTCATCATTAATGGTTCTCTCTCCCTCTACTTTCCTTTCTCTGAAATAAAATATATATATAAAACATTTTTTAAAAAGAATACCTTTTTATTGTTTTTAAAATACTAAACATGAATATTAAGTTTTATCAAATATTTTTCCATCATTTACTGTTTTTATTTAACCTATTAGTGTAATATATAAAGAGATTCCATATAATTGAACCTTGTATATGTCCCTAAAATAAACTGCTTGGTTTGGTAATTATTTTTTTTAAATACTCAATCTATTCACTAATGTTATAAAGGTTCTGTCAATTTTATGAAGATTCTAAAAGTAATTAGGACCTGTACCTTGCTTTTTTTTTTATGATTGAATGACTAATAGGCTACATTAAACAGTTTTGAAACTGAAAAGAATTAGTTTTTTATATGTCTAGTGCTTTATTTTACTGACATTATTCTCTATTTGTTGTTTTAATTTCTGTTAACAGATATTCCCTTAGGAGAGGTAGCTCCTTCACATTTTTAACACCTGGACCCCACTGGGACTTCACTTTGGTGAGTAGATGTCTAGCTTTTTATTTCAAGACATTAAATAGAATTATTTCCTGGGTTGTCTTTCAGTCTGGTGTACAGCTCAGTTGTCTGTATTTCTCTCAACATCTTTAGTATCCTAATTTATCCTGCTAACAAACTAAAAGACATTTTTATTTCAACTAAATATAAAACATGTTTTGGAAAGAAACATTCATCTTTAACTCTATGTAAACCTTTCTCTTATTCCCACCAGTGTTAAAGTTAACACATTGTATGCGGGAAACGTGTTTACACGTTTTATGTATTTATACGTTCTACCAGTGTAGTAGAGCGCGGGACAGGTATTAATACGTTTTTTATAGACTAGCGGTAGAATGCGGGTAACGTATAAATACGTAAACTAAAGTTATCGTAATTTTACTGAACGTTGCCATTTGCGCAAAAAATTAGCAAAAATGGCCCGCGCCACCTGTTAACGCGCGATAAAAACTACCCGCAAACAATGTGTTAAAAGAATGTTATGAAACATTAATTTATTTTTTTTACATACTCTAGCAGCTTTTTTCTTGGTTGAAAAATATAAAAATGTAGGATATGAAGAATGAATTGCTTTCTGTTATTAATCATTTTAGTATAGAGGGACTTCTTCAATTATCTTTGGAATGAGATTTATAGAGACATCTAACTTTGCGCAAAGTGACACCAGAAAATTAATTATTTTTGTAATTAAAAACACATTACCTCTTAGTACTCACCTAAACAAAGTATGTACAAATAGAGCATGATTTTTATGCTGTTCTTATTTATTTGAAATAGCAAAAGTGACTCTATTTCTAGCATGCTAAACTTTACTTGTGTGCCCGTAATTATGTGCTGATGGATACATCAATACATATTTAATTTGTATTCTATTCTTTTGTCTTTAATTTATATTTCTGTTGGGGACGCCTGTTCAAGACTTCTGTACTCTTATACTAATTATATACATTAATTGGCGAGATAAGCATTCAAAGAAAGTATCTTTTGATTTTAATGCAATTCTGTATTTCCTTTGCAATTTTTTTCATCTTGATCCTTTTCCCTTACTATCTGATGAGCCTACACTTAAACAGAAAAAGTTTAGAAGTGTTTCTAAATTTGATTTGCAAACCTATCAGCAAAAATATTTGAGCATATGTCCCTGGTATATTTATTTATAACTTTTGTATATACCACCTTTATTAGTTAACTAGGGACCCAGTGCATGAATTCGTGCACCTTGAAAGGAACTGTGGGCCACGAGGCTGTGGTAGGCACAGGGGCAGGTCTCAGCCCAACCTCCATGACCCTGCCCAGCCCCTCCTACTGCAGTCCCCTGTCCCGTCTGCAGGCAGCCCCATTTTCGCCACCACCGCTCCCACGTGCTGATGGTGCCGGCCCTGGCTTGATGACAGCACTGACCTTACTCGCGCTCACTGATGGCACGGAGTGATTGGGGCCAGCATCAGCGGGTGTGAGCGGGGCTGGCGCTGTCAGTGGATACAAGTGGCGGCTGCTGCCCCTATATCCCCTCAGGAACAAGGGGAGGTGGAGAAGTCCTCAGGGGTGATCAAGGCTAGCAGGTGCCACTTGCACCCGCTGATGGCGCCTTGTGATTGGGATTGGCACCGGCAGCAGGTGCACGTATTAGCTATGGCACGGGCTGAGGGTGTGAGTGCCAGGCAGGACCGTGGCACAGGAGCAAAGAATTTTCAGTAACCAACAGAGGCTCACCCCGATGGCAGTGACAGGCACCCTGCCTTGGTCTGGTGCCCCCACTCACCTCCACCATCCCGCCATGGCCAATTCCCACCATGTTCTCCACACGCCCCCTGGTGGTCAGCGCACATCATAGTGACCGAATGTTTGGTTGTTCCGCTGTCAGTCTATTTGCTTATTAGCCTTTTATTATATAGGACTAGAGTCCTGGTGCACAAAAATTTGTGCACTCGGGGGGAAGGGGGGTCCCTCAGCCCGGCCTGTGCCCTCTCGCAGTCTGGGACCCCTCAGGAGATAACGACCTGCTGGCTTAGGCCTGCTTCCGGGTGGCAGAGGGCAGGCCCAATCCCTAGGTGCAGCCCCTGGTCGGGCTCAGAGCAGGGCCTATTGGGGAGTTGGGGAACCGCCCTCTGTCATGCACAGAGCAGGGTGGATGGGGAGGTTGTGATGCCACCCTCAGTCACGCTCAGGGTAGGGCTGATTAGGGGTTGGGGCACCGCCCCCTGTCACACTCAAGGCAGGGTCGATGGGGAGGTTGCGGCGCCACCCCCTGTCACGCACAGAGCAGGGCCAATCAGGGGGTTGGGGCACTGCCCCCTGTCACTCACAGAGCAGGACCAATCAGGGGTTTGGGGCGCCACCCCCTGTCACGCACAGAGCAGGACCAATCGGGTTTGGGGCGCCACCCCCTGTCACACACAGAGCAGGGCCAATCAGGGGGTTGGGGCGCCACACCCTGTCACACACAGAGCCGCAGGGTGATCAGGGGGTTGGGGAGCTCCCCCTATCAGGCACAGAGCAGGGCTGATCAGGGGGTTGGGGCGCCTTCCCCTGTCATGAGCAGAGCAGGGCCGATAGGGAGGTTGTGGCCCCGCCCCTTGTCACACACAGAGCCACAGGGCGATCAGGGGCTTTGGGTGCTGCCCCCTGTCATGCTGATCCCGGTTCAGGGAGGCCTCGCAGCTCCGCTGATCCCGGTACTGGGAGGCATATTACCCTTTTACTATATAGGATAGAGGCCTGGTGTATGGGAGGGGCTGGCTGGTTTGCCCTGAAGGGTGTCCTGGAAGGGTGGGGGTCCCCACTGGGGTGCCTGGCCAGCCTGGGTGAGGGGATGATGGCTGTTTGCAGCTGGTCACACACCCTTCAGGGTGGGGGTCCCCACTGGGGTGCCTGCCCAGTCTGGGTGAGGGGCTGAGGGCTGTTTTCAGGTTGGGACTGAAGCTCCCAACTGCTCCTTTTTTTCTTTTCTGGGCTAGCTTTAGCTCTGGCTCCAGCTCTGAGGCCTCTGCTGCTGAAAGAAGGTATCTGATTTGTTTGGGTTCTATAATCGAAACACTGTATCAACTCCAGCTCTGAGATCCCGGGCTTGCTGAAAGCAGGTTTCTGGGGTTTTGTTTAGCTTCTGTATTTGTTACAATGTTTCTTAAACTGAAAGCTCAGAGGCCGGCAAGGCAGGTGGGGAACGTTGGAGTCCTCCGTCACTGAAGCAAGCAAGCCTCATGTTAGTTTCAAGCTTCCTGGCTGCTGGCTGCCATCTTGGCTGGCAGTTAATTTGCATATTGCCCTGATTAGCCAATGGGAAGGGTAGCGGTCGTACGCCAATTACCATGTTTCTCTTTTATTAGATAGGATTATCTCAAAACACAATGCACATTAAGAGTGAAGTTAATGATACTGGACATAAAAATATATTTCAGGTAGCCATGATAATTTCAGTTTGGGACTCACTTCTTATTGGATCTGATTAGATCGCTATTTTTCTTACCCATATAATGTGAGTACTGATTAACTTATCATTCGTATATTAAATATTTAAAGTTTATTTTTAAGGATTAAGAAATACATAAAAATAAAAGTTCTAACATTTTCCTGCTGCCCACCCCAGGGAAGATATCTTGCATATCCTCCTGGATGGGTACATCCCACTAGGGAAAACACTTTTGTAGAGGTCTGCCATGACAAAAGAAATATCTTATTGTTTATACATTAAAACTTTTGGAATGTCATTAAGGAATTGTAAGAGGGATGTTTATAATTTTTAAATACATAGTTTAAGAAAAGAACAAAAATTGGTGAATTAAAAATGGCGGCAGAGTAGGAGGATGTTGCAAGGACATGCTCCCAGGAACAAGCTGGAATTACAACTGAAACATGGAAAGGCTTTCTGAATAATCAATGGAAAACTCACAGGAGAGTATCCTGATACCCAGGGACCAAAGATGGAAACCACATAGAGACTGATAGGAGGGGCAGAGGCACAAAAGGGCTGGCTGGGCACCCACAAGATGGCAACTGAAGTCCTCGAGAGTATCTCAGCTATGGGGGGTGCCACTGAGAATTCTGGAATCTAATCCCAAAGCTGGGCTCCCCAGCAGAGAGCACAAAACTGAGGAAGGTCCCAACATAACATCTAGCTGTGAAAACAGTAGGGTGCTATCTGTCAAGGAGAGGCAGCTGAAAGTTTGGGCACCCTCTTAAAGAGTCAGCACACAACAATTCCCTGTGGAGCCACCCACCTTGTGCTCTGGCAGAGGGAGGGGGAAGTGGAATGGTGCTATGAGACCAGAACCCAGGACTCAGGGGATAGAGCTCAGAAGGCAGACACCCCAAGTCTCCTGGTCTGAGTCATTCCCTCACACAGTGGAGGACATCTTTCCCACACAGACATTTGCCTTGCAGGGGGGATGGAGGGGAGAGACGACACACCTTATTGGAAAACATCTTGCCCTGAGGCCACTTAAGAGATTAAAAGTAACAATTAGCCTCTAGGCAGAAGCAACTGCCTCACCTTGTTGAAAAAACTCTCCTCCCACCTGAGGACGATTGCCTGGGGGCAATTCAAGTCAGAATCTTATTAGTCTGTAGACAGAGGTGGTCTCTGGAGACTTTGAGTCTTTGCCTGATCCATTTAGTCAGAAATAGCTTTTAACACTGTCCTGCACTAGAGATTGAGAGGTGTGGAGGATCAACATAAAACATAGTCACAAACCCAAACAGACAACCAAAATGAGGAAACAAAGAAACAACCCCCAAATGAAAGAACTAGTGAATTCTCCAGAAGAAGAGATAAATGAGGCAGAGATAAGAAATTTATCTGAAACAAAGCTCAGAGTAATGTTAAAAATGCTCAACAGTATGAAAAAAGATATAGTATCTATGGAAGAACAGTCTGAGATAAAGAATGACATAACACAAATAAAGAACACATTGGAAGAAATACACAGCAGATTAGGGGAAGCTGAGGATTGAATCAGTAAATTAGAAGAATTGAAAATATCACT